ATTTCTTTCAAACTCTAGTTGGTTTTAAATTTCTGTTCTATTCATAATTTCATAAATTTTATCTTTGGTGTACACTGACAAGTCAGGCCATTTGTTTCTAAGCCATGGGCTCATGTCAAAGATTCGGTATCTTTTGGTAAAGGCCTGAAAGGGTGGGGGTGCTGAGGGGAGGGGCGCGGGGTGGAGTAACAGCTGCTGTCCCTTTAGAAAGCCGTACCCAGGACACGAACAACCAGGTACCGGTCTCCAAAGATCAAGTGCATGGATTTTCAGCAATGTCCAAGCAGACAACAACGGAATTCTACGTGTCTTTCGCAGATGAAAGAAAAAATTGCAGACATTGCAGGGTGAAAAAGAATGAAGTGCCATTCACCTTTCAGAGTGTCTGTTAGCCCTAGAGAGAGAAGACGCCTGCGATTGTGCAGGCAAGGCTCCGGGCCGACACAAGGATGAAACACTGCAAAAGCTAACCCTCCACAGCCAAGGTTAGGCAGCTGGCAGGGTTCCCAGGTTGCTATTTGCCATACCCTCAAGTCTTTAATCTTTTAAATCCAAAAAAATAATTACAGGAAATCCAGAAAGCTTCCAGTAAACCTCCACAGTTCCCAATCTCTCTATCCCACATAGATTATAAAGTGCAATGATTTTTGGGGTGCCTGTCCAAGTGACAAGGTTCTCCTCTACCGTCCAGATCAGACCATGGACAGAGTTATCAGGGAAATGGCTAACTTGTGGCAGCTCCTTCGGGATGGTCCCCCTGCGCCCTGCTATCTCACTGTGCCCACCTCCATCATGGCCAGTGCACCCGCCTCTCCGCCCCAGATGGAGGGCGACAACTGCCTTTCTGGTTCTCAAATACCCCCCGGCTTTTGTGCTTCCCCGGGAACTTCTGTTTTATAGACAGTGCTGGCTTCTTTGACCTTTCACAATCTTTTCCTTGGTGCTCTTTAGTCTGTTTGTCCTTCCATTTTATACCAGTTTTGCTTCCTAATCTAACAGATACTCGATGTCAGTTTAGATTCACACCAGGGCCACCGCCCCTCATGTCCGCTCCTTGATAAACTCGCGCACACTCTGAGGTTCTCCTTCTAGACCAGTCATTTGCAGCTCTAGACTCCAGTCGTGAGCAATCCTAAGTGACTGCTTCAACTGCCTTCTATTTATGTTTCCTTCGAGTAAATAAATATTAATGATTTTACCTCTTCAATCCGTGTGAAATAACTAAATTTCCCTGCCTCTTTGACAGAACCATGGTCCAAGATATTATTACCTCTAGCTTGTTTCCATTGTTACGCTCTTAGTAGACCAAGTCCTCATGTCTTTTGTCCAGAAAGCAGTCAGAATGATCTCTTACTTTCATTTTTTTTAATTTTCAGAATGATTTTTTGAAATATCCAAGAGATCACAGAGTTTCAAATGGTTTCTATCTCACTAAAAACAAAATTCCATTTCCTTACTTTGCTTTGAAAGGCTTGACACAATTTAGTCCCTGTTCCCTCCATAGCATTCACACCCTGCTCACCTTCCCACCCTCCCACCACTGTCCCTGCTCTGAAACATTCCCTGATTCACTCTCAACTCTCGCCCTTCCCTTCTATTCCTTCTTCCCAGCGCATCCTTCCCACAAATCATTGCAAGTTGGCTTTCTTCTCATCACTCTGTTCTCAGTTCAATGAATGTTTCTTGACCAGTCTTCTCTGGACAACCAATTTCTCATTTCTGCATTATCATCACTGGGAATTATCTTCCACCACCCACTTGTCAATTTTTCCTACTGTGGTGCATTGCATGCTGCAATGACGCCACTAGTGTTTCAGAGAGCAGCAGGGTCATGCCTGGTTGACAGGTATTAATGATGCTTCCAGACTAATAGAGAGTAGGAAGAAAGATTGGTGATTCACTTCCCAAATCACTTTATCGATAGCAACAGACCACCTCCTGGTACCGTGCTAGAAGATGAGTCCACTAAATTGGAAGGCACTGAAAATGCACACTCTCCACAACAATGAACTTGTGTACACCAACAATTGATCCTCGGAAGACAGCAGGTCCACTGGAGAAGCATTCACTGCTGTGGGTCACGACCCCTTTCACAGGGGTGCCCAATTTATAATACTAGCAAAATCAAAGCAATGAAGTAGCAACAAAAATAATGTTCTGGTGGGGGGGGTGGTATCACCATAACCTGAGCAACTGTATTCAAGGGTCGCAGCAGTAGGAAGGTTGAGAACCACTGGGCTAGCACATGATGACTGGCACAAAGTAAGCACTCATGTTTGAAAGTGAAGAAATAAATGTATGATGAATTACTTCAGCAAAAAATAAGAAAAATATTTGATAGGAAGTCTTTCTGTAGATAGCCTGTGATTTTGCTCATTTACTAAACTCAGATTATTAGTTTAATAATCCCAGCTTTCACAGTTTTTCCTGTTTGTTCCTCTAGCTGCTTAATGTTAGCCTTCACCTCTGTGTGATTTTATAAAGCACAAAGATCTGTTTGGGGAGAAGGGAGAGGAATTATGATGACCCGGCCAGCAGACTCTTTGGCTCACATACACAGGACCATGTATACTTAGACTCCAAACAGAATCTATGTCAGCCCATGGAAGTCTGTTATGCCAGTTCTAATGAAAGGTATTTACTTTTATAAAAGATAGATTCTAATGAAAAAACTAAGGATTCACCCTTCACTTGCTTGCTGATTGGATTTTGCTACACATAATTCTGTAACAGAGATCCCTGGTGGTACAGGGATGAAGTGTTCCGCTGCTAACGGCAAGCTGGGCAGTTGGACCACATCACAGCTCTGTGGGAGAAAGATGTGGCAGTCTGCTTATGTGAAAATCGACAGCCTTGCGAACCCTGTGAGCACTTCCGCTCGGTACTACAGCCATCATGAGTCAGTATTAGCTCAACCACTACAGGTTTGGCTGGAAGTATATAACGCAAAGGTGGTTCAAAGGGTATAGAAAAGGGTATGGAGGAGGCTGCAGTTTGGGGCCCACTAAGCCACTTCTTAGTATTTCAGGCTCCTTAGTTTTAATTACATAATTAAAACTAAGAGGTGGTTCTATCTACATCAGAACTCTAAGTTGCTTTTCAAAGATACTATGTTTTATTCTGAAGAAGTTCCTGGTACTACTAACCTTTCCGGGAAAACAAAATTTACTCTTTCTTCTTAAGACAGGGATATATATTTAAGTCATTAATTTGAAACCCCAATGCATTATATGTGCCAAAATTAAACCAAATCCCTATCAGAAAGCAGCTGAGACAAGAAAGTTTCCCAGGAGAGCTGTCTCGCGATCTCTGCTGGGGAAAAATACTGAAGGATCACCCAACGCAAACAGATCCTATTCCGGTTACGAGACGTCAGAACAGAAGAAAGCAAATGAAAGCCTGAAACCCAAACCTGTCCCTAAGTCCAAAAGCTTCTTCAGAAAATGCTAACTCTTCAAAGTCATTGCCACTTAAGAAATAAAAGGTTATTCTTATCATTTGCCACCTTCCCCAACATTTCTGATATATTTCTGTAATAGTCCAAGAACACTTAGGAGTTCTAGAGCTCGGTTATATTCATCTCAAAAGGAAGGACAAGATCATGGCCACACTTGGCACGTTTGAGTCTGGTATGCCAAGGAGAGGAGATGGAAGAAATCACTTCTCCAGTAGACAGGGTTTCTGATCCAGTCTCTGGAGGAGCCATTTCTCTCCAAACCAACCTCAGGAACACAGAATTCGAATACGAAGAGTTGAGGTTGCGAAAGACCTTACCCCAAGAGGCGCAGACCCTGCTGTATGACACCAACGACTGCCAGCAATTCTGAGTTTCTTCCTTCGTGGGGGCAAGAGGCCCTGATTTCACCCGGTAGCCATTATGGAACAAATCCCCCTGGGACTTTTTGCGGTGCCAGGTGGATCTGTAAGCCTCCGTGCGGGTGCTGTTGGGAGGATGGTGGTACACCAGGATCTTAGTAGGGATCATGGTGGAGGCAGAGGATGAGCTGGGCTTCTCTGCTCCCTTTTAGTTCATTCCCTGTTCAAGCCCATGCTCTGGAAGGCCTGGAGCAAGCTGTGTGCCTCTAGCACAGGTTAGCGAAACAGACCTTGTGTCCAGCACAGTGAGGCTCACCAGCATCTATGCCTCCTCCTCACACACTAGCCCACGTGCACGAATCCCCAGCGCACTGTGGGCATTACCAGATGCTTGTAGTCACATCAGAAAGGTGGGTGAAAAAGGAGGAGGGTCAGCACTCTGATCATTATGTCCTACAAGCTTATCTCTCAGCTTCATTCTGGAAATTACCATGTAAGCTTCTTTGGATGTGGCTTAAAGGGAGGCAAGCAGAGTAGATTGGAATTTCTCAAATCAGAGGGTACAGAAAAGGGTGTGGGGAAGTCTGCAGTTTGGGTTCTGCTGAGCCGTTTTATTTCAATGATCCTGCCTGACAATTGTTATTTGTGTGTGTGTGTGTGTGTGTGTGTGTGTGTGTGTGTGTGTTCGTGCTTTTTTGGCCTGGTAATTGAGGATTCCTCTGGAGGATTCTATTATGGGATGAGGTGATCAACTGGAGACAAAAGTCACCCAACTCTTCTTGTCCACCCCCAACATAACCCAAACACACACATCTCCCATTAGTCTTGCCTTGGACGAGAAGCAGCAGCAGGTCCTGGGGCTTTCCAGAGGAGGCATCCGTGTGCTCCCTGCCCACAAACTCCCCTCCTGGAGCTCCTTGTCCTCCCAACCACAACCTTTCCTGGGCCTGTGTCCCCAGGGCACTGGCATAAACCAAACTACAGCAAGGACCAAGATGGAGAAAATATAAAATATATCAACACAGAAATGTCTAAAACCATTAAGCTATTAACCAAGACTTCCCCAAATCCAGCCCGCACCTATTTTTCTAGTCCTCATGCAGCTTTCTAACAAAGAAACGATTATTAGATGGTATTTTGAATAGAAAACAACTTGTTTTCTTAATACAGATTTACTTTTTCACCAAGCCATGATATATTGAACTTCTTATTACATGCCAACTGTTGTGCAGAGTACTGGGTATTCAGTTATTAATGGGAATAATACAAATCTGAACCTCCTGGTTGAAGCAATATACATGCTCTATCATAATTGTAATTAAATAGCAATGTAGGTAAAAAAAATTATTTTTATTTATTTATTTTTTTTACATAGGTAAAATTTGAGTTGTAAAGAATTGTGTGAGTATGTGGTACAGAGATGTGTATCTGAAGCATAAGGTGGTGTGGCATGTTTACCGATCATTATCATTAGTTCTTTTTTCTTAAGCATTTCATTGGGGGCTCATGCAGCTCTTATCACAATCCATACATCCACCCATTGTGTCAAGCACATTTTTACATTTGTTGCTATCATCATTCTAAAAACATTTTCTTTCTACTTGAACCCTTAGTATCAGCTCCTCATTTTTAAAAAATTTAAATCATTTTATTGGGAGCT